TATGTATACAAAGATACAGTTCAATATTTTTATAAATATGATGTGGAAAAAAGAATAAAGATTTGAGGCCAGCAAGTGGCATGGAGGTTAAGGCGGCTGATTATACACATGGCCGATTATACATAGTTTGAGTTCTGGAAGAAAATAACACCAGGCATGTGTGCATGTGTGCTCAAAATCCCAAGAGGAAACTAGTTAAAGGATTGTGGTGTGGCCATCATCTCCCCTGGAGGGTGATGCCTCACTTTCTTGCTCTCTCTCTCTCTCTCTCTTTCTCAAGTGCCCATGCTCTGTGGAAACCTAAAAAATAAGATAATAATAATAAACACTTTATTTTTCTCTTGTGTTGGTTGATTAGTCAAATGGACACAATTAATCACTTCATAAATGTTTTTTGAGTGTGATAAATGAAACAGCCTCAGAAAAACAAAATTAACTGCCATATTTTTCTCATTCAGCCACAATAACATTGTGCATTTGCACCTCTGAATAAACAATGCTTTGAGTGTTTCCCAAAGACACCAATTACATCTTCTGCAATTACTGGATTTCTGTATAGTAATACTATGATGAGGAGGATAGAGAAGGGGGCTAAACTCTAGTTTTTTTCCTTGCTCTTAATTGAGTATTAACAAATAAGTGTTGATTAGACAGCAAGGAATAATTAAGGGGAGAGTGTATAATAACATAAGGGTTGTTTATAAAGTATTATAACATATAATAACATAAAGTATTTCATCACTTTAAAATGTCTCTTTTTTGTTTTTCTTTCTAGCCTTAGGGCACATGCATTTGCCAGACAGAGGCAGAAAAGACAGAAGGAAAGAGAGAAAGCATCAACCAAAGGGGTGCAACACCTTCTCCATTTCTCCTTCCTTTCAAAATTCTGGGTACACATGCACATGTGCCCAGCATGTTATCCAAACTGCCAGGACTAGGACTTAAATCATGGTCAGCCACGTAAAATCCAGCTCCCTTAACCTCCATGCTATGGATCCTGTAAGTTGTAGCTTCTTATAAGGAGGATGGTGCTGAGTATCTTGAAAATTTCTTTCCAAACTGGTAATATCTCTATGCTAGCCAGGATTCCACGGAAAGAAGCCCCCTGACAAACCTGGAAGCCAGAACCAGACCTTCTTCCAGGAACTGGCCAGTAGCCCTTTAACTCTGATCCTGATGCCTGAGGAAGCTGATGACCAGATAGAAACAAAACTACAATTGCCTTGGTAACTAGTCACCACTGAAGGAAAAACAGTCTACCTGGTTCATTCTCTTCCAGGACCTGGGGATGGTGCTGCTCTGGAATTTCTTCATGGTCTCTACCAACTATTTCACAAACCACCTGGGCCAGTTTCAATTTATGCCTTAAACCATGGCTCGACTTAGCTGGTTCACCTAAGGCCTTGCCTCCTCCCTTGGTGTAGGTGCCTCCTGGTGTTGGTATTCCTTGTGCCAATTTCAAACACGTTCTGATCCTATATTTCCTGCTTAAACAGATGCCCTAGTTCCTGCCATCTGTAGGAGCCAGGTGGCTAGCCTAATGTTGTTAGGCCATCCTGCAAAAGGACAGCTGGAGGCCTGCACTTCAGGACTATCACCATCACCACCTTGCTCAGGGCCATCCTACATGGCAGCCACAGAGACTCTACCTCATCAATGGCCAGTGCCTGGCAGAGATCTCCACCTTCCGGGCCATGATCACGTCTGTGTGGTCCTATTCCCCTAACCACCTGCTGGTACCGAGCTCAAATTCTGCTGCTACCTAGAACAGCTCAGGGTCAAAAGCTCTGAGAAACAGAAGGTAGAAATGGGCCTAATTTGTTGAGGAGACAAAGGTGCCGACAGAGAGGAGCATGAGATTTCAGCCTCCAATCAGCAGCCTTCTTTCAAGGGTTCATCCATGATGGCTGTATCAGCTAAGATTCTCCAACAGTATGAAACCAAAAGGTTTTATACATATATAAAAATTTTAGGGCCAGGTGGTGGTGCAGTGGTAATGCTACTGCACATACAAGGGAAAGATCTTAGGTTCACATCCAAGGACGTTTCTGAGCATACTAGATTTGTGCATGCCCATGATATGGGTTGCCTGAGACTGGGGGGTAGACTGAGGTATGAAGACTCTGCTGAGGGTACCCTCCTCTCTCTGTCTCTGTCTCTGTCTCTGTCTCTCTCTCTCTTCTCTCTCTCTCCCTCCCTTTCTCCCTCTCCTCCTTCTCTCTCAATAAATAAACTTTAAAACTTAAAAAAAAAAATTGACCCATATGATTGTAGGTGCAAGTCCAAAATTTGTAGGGCAGGTCAGCAAACTGAAAACTTGAGCAAGAATTTTTAAGCATGACCACAAAACATTGCAGTCTTAAATCCACAATCCATAGGACAGGCTGGTAGGCTGGAACCTCAGCTTTGAGATAGATTTCCTTCTCCAGGAAACAGTTTTTGTTCTTAGGATCTTTAACTGGTTAGATGAGATCAACCCTTATTATTGAGAGACAAAAAAAAAAAAAACAAAAAAACAAAAAAACTGTACCTATAAGATTTGAAAATTTAATTAAAACAGCTATTTCCTCAAATATAAGTTTAATTAAGTGGAATTCTAAGACCCTTTATTTTTTTATATCTTGAGGATTTTGCCCTTCAAGACTTATATTTCATTCATTCACTGTCTTCTTTTAGATAAAGAACAACCAATCAGGGTCATGCAGAAAAATTCACTCTTTTCAAAGCCTCTTTTCATGTAAAATAAAGCTAATCTTCTTAAAACTGTTAGTTTTGGCTTGTTTATTAATGAAAATCTTAATGATGTTTTGGATTTTTATATACTTTTCTTAAAGTCTTCTACAGTGAATTTTACAAAAGTCACACAATAAAATACTCACTAATACTTGTGAAGACTAAATGAAACAAAAAGTTTTTCATTTTGTTAACTAGCTAAGCATAATAGTCTATAGGAAAATATTAAAGTAATTCACATAATTGCAATGTTTATTGTATTTGAAAGATGTAAAAATGTCCTAAAATGAAAGTCATCTTTTTTAGTTAAGGTAAGTCATTATAGATGTGAATCATATCTACAAAATACCATCATTATAGGAAAATCTACACTACAGTTTGATTAAATAACTAGGCACCATAATCTAGCTAGGTAGGTACATAAAATTAAACCATCACAATGGTCATCCTTGGGAAAATCTTAGTCCTCTCTCGGTCCATTGGCATCACTCTCATTATTTCATATGAATGTTCCAGGCTGGAACCACAGAAATTAATTCAGCATTATGGACATACTGTACTCCATTTTTTAATTTTTAATTTTATTGACTTACGGGGTCTTCCTGAGCCTCACAGCCATATACACATGGCCAAGGGAAAATAGCCATTGGCCATTATGTCTGCTATTGGCCATTATGTCCTACTGTGCAACATATAATGCCACCCCTACTCACTGAAGGTCACTGAGCAAGACTCCTTGTTTATCTTTGTCATCACCAGCTTCTCTGTCTATAATGGCAATCTTCACAGCCTCCGAATGAGCTTTCTCAAGTCCAAGAAAGTAATGTCTGCTGAGGTGGAGACTGAGAGGCCATCATGGACTCCTGTCTTGGCTTTGGACCTGGGACTAGAGGCTGTGCTTCCCTCTGTTCTGTAGTCATGTGGTGAAAGGACAGAGGGAAGGCCTGCAGCAACCACTTTCATGCCTGGAACCCCTATCCATGCATTCAGGGTGGCCTGGAAACAGTCCTTTTCTGGGTGATTTCTGCTTTCACTGCCTTTCTAGAGACCAATAGCCTGCCAGGAAGAAGGTTCTCTGTGGTCAAGCAAGAAGTAAACTGAGAATCCATAACTCAGAGTGAAGGGAGGAGGTGCTAGAGTGAATCAGAGCCTCTGGCTGCCCCAGAGTCATCACTTGGCTCTAGCTGTCTGGCTCTTTCCCAAGCAGGACAGTGATTGTGCTGACCTCAGAGTATTTGTATCTATTGTCCTGTCTGAATAAGGAGTAACTCTGAAGCAGGGAAAAATACCAGTATTATCTTAAGATTCTCCCTCTCTCCTTAAGCCATCCAATTCTCTCCCCTCTTGCTCTGCCTTAAATCAGGGGTTCCCAATCCCTTCCCTGCAACCAGGCCATGGACTAGTACCAGTCTAAGGCCTGTTAGAAACCAAGGTGCATAGCAGGAGGTGAGCAGCAGGCAAGCAAGCAAGCAAGCAGGCAGGCAGGCAGGTAGGCAGGCAGACAGGCAAGCAAGCAAGGCTTCCACAGTATTTACAGCCACTCCCCATCACTTCCGTTACCACCTGAGCTCCACCTCCTGTCAGATCAGTAGTGGCATTAGATTATTGTAGGAGCGTAAACCCTGTTGTGAACTGCTTATGTGAGAGATCTAGGTTGTATGCTCTTGTAAACAACCTCCTCCCCTACCCCCAGCACATTCATAGCAAAACTGTCTTCCAGGGCCAACAGGTGGTATATTGGTTATGATGCTTAACTCCCATATGGTCAACTATGGTTCAAGTTCCAGAGCCAGAAGTTTGAAACTCATGCCTGGCGTGTGTGTGTGTGTGTGTGTGTGTGTGTGTGCGCCCACAATCACAACCAAAATCCCAAGAGGAAAATAGAAAAGGGACTGTGGTATGGCCATCTTTCTTGGGGGTGATTTCTTGCTTCCTGTCTCTCTGTGTCTCTGGTGAGCGTACACGCCCTATAGCAAAAATCTCTCTTAAAAAAAAAAAAAAAGTCATGGAAAAGCGAAACAGATTGATGGGGAACTGAAAAGTTCAAAGAGACTGATTCAGGAAGAACCTTAACAAATCAGCTCATTGCACAGCAGTGCTAGCAGCTCCTCGGTTCGGTCCTCCAACCTGACGCTGTCATGAAGCCTGGGTCAGCGAGCTCACAGGAGCTTGGAACTGTTGTCATCCTGCTAATTATTACTGGGGGAAAATAGTTGAAGCAGATCGCCTAGGAAAGTTCTTCATCGGTGGACTTAATATAGAAACAAATGAGAAAGCCCTTGAAACAGTATTTGTCAAACATGGATGGATAGTGGAAGTACTTTTGATGAAAGACCATGAAACCAACACATCAAAAGGATTTGCTTTTGTCACCTTTGAAAGCCCAGCAAATGCAAAGGATGCAGCCAGAGACATGAATGGGAAGTCTCTAGATGGAAAAGCCATCAAGGTGGAACAAACCACTAAACCATCATTTGAAAGTGGTAGACATGGACCACCCCCACCTCCAGGAAGCAGAGGCCCTCCGAGAGGTCTTAGAGGTGGAAGAGGAGGAAGTAGAGGAACCAGGGGACCTCCTTCCAGTGGAGGGCACATGGATGATGGTGGCTATTCCATGAATTTTAACATGAGTTCTTCCAGGGGACCACTTCCAGTAAAAAGAAGGCCACAAAGTTGGGGTCCTCCTCCTAAAAGATCAGCCCCTTCAGGACCAGTTTGCAGCAGAAGTGGAGTGGGAGGAAGAGCCCCTGTATCACATGGAAGAGCCCCTGTATCACATGGAAGTTATGGAGGCCGACCTCGAAGGGTACTCTTGCCCTCTCATAGAGATGTTTATTTGTCCCCAAGAGATGATGTATATTCTACAAAAGACAGCTATTCAAGCAGAGATTATCCAAGTTCTCGTGATACAAGAGATTATACTCACCATGATTATGGTCATTCAAGTTCTTATACTGACTACCCATCAAGAGGCTATAGTGACAGAGATGGTTATGTTCGTGATCATGATTATTCAGATCATCCAAGTGGAGGTTCCTACAGAGCTTCATATGAGAGTTATGGTAACTCACGTAGTGCTCCACCTACATGAGGGCCCCCGCCATCTCGTGGTGAAAGCACGACTGCTTACAACATTTCATGGGATGGATATGGTGGAAGTTGAGACAGTTATTCAAGCAGCCGAAGTGATCTCTACTCAAGTGGTTGTGATCAGGTTGGCAGACAAGAAAGAGGGCTTCCCCTTTCTGTGGAAAGGGGGTACCATCCTCCACGTGATTCCTATAGCAGTTCAAGCTGCAGAGCACCAAGAGGTGGTGGCTGTGGAGGAAGCAGATCTGGTAGAGGAGGAGGCAGAAACAGATACTAGAAACAAACAAAACTTTGCACCAAAATCCCTGTTCAAAGAAACAAAGTGGAAACTATTCTATCATTAACTACCCAAGGACTACTCAAAGAAAAACTGTGTTACCTTTTTTAAATGTCCTGCTAAGTTTCCCTCCATAATTTTCATGCTCCTATGAGGATAAAAAGTAAAACACGTTTAATTTTATTTGATTTTATTTATGACATTGCTTTCAACAAGCAAGTGTTAAATGTGTAAGACTTGACTTGTTCTAGTGTAATTTTCCAAGTATCTCTAAAGGCTACTTCCTATCATTTTTCTCAGTAAGAGAGGCAAACAGGTCTCAGATCTTCCACACACATCCCATCTAAAATGGAGAGATGAATCATTCTACCTATATAAACAAGCTAGCTGTTAGAGGCTAGTCAGGATATGCTACTCATAGGATTTCAGGGTGTCTTCAAACTAAAATCTCAATGATCTCAGTAAGAAAAACCTGAGGTCAGATGCCTATGTAAGGAAAGTGCTAGTCCCCCAGTAAACCCAAAACAGATGGATAATGCTGGCTATATTTTGCCTTTCTGACATTTCCTTGGGAATCTGCAAGAATCTCCCCTTTCCCCTCCCCCAATAAGATAATTTAAGTGTAAGTTAAACAAAAAAGTTTGGCCAAAACAAACAAACAAACAAACAAAAACACATCAGAGATGAAGAATAAGAACTCGCTGATGTTTATCTATACCCATTCAATGAGGCCAGAAAAGAATCCTATAGACATAAGCAGTCAGTGGCAAAAACATAAATGTGTTGGCATAAAACAGGCAGGGTTCTTCAGGTTCTAAACAGTACCACCCAGAGGAGCAATTTGGAAATTTGTGGCAGTGGCTTTTGGGTTCTCACATTAATTAGGAACAAGGGTAATAGAGGCTAGTCATTCTGTGGGGTCCGGGCAGCCCTGCACAATAGATACTTGTCTTCTATCCTGCATAACTTTCACACGTCCTGGCCAATCTGATGAAGATGAACAACTTTCACACATTCATGTAAATACTAATGCCTGCTATATGATCAGCAATAAATATTCTAGATGAATATTTGCTCTCTTAGGTTTATAAAAATGTATTTTAATTTCTGAGTCTAGAACTTAACTATACATTTCTGTTACATATGACCAGAATGTACTTTTGTACTGTCTTAATATTCTGCATGTCTTCTTGAAATGCAACCACCATGCAAATTATGGGAAGATCATAATTTCTTTTCCAAAGTCCACCAAGAATTGTTCACTGTCAGAAAGTCACATCACTCATCCTGAGAGCCAAGCCAGTGTGACATGTCTGTCCAGTCCACACCTGTAAATCTGACTGACAGGGACACTAAGACTAGGCAAACATTTGACCCTTTCATTAAGTTTTCTCACATAGCCAGGTCTGACCATATAAATTCAGAAATGGTGTTATTTTATTGTAAATTGCTTTAGTTTCTGTTACATTTTAGTTAAGGCATCAGGTTACTGTTGTTTAATATGTGTGTGTGGTTGGTTATATTACCCATGAATCTCATTTCAAGATGGCAAATGTGATTTAAAAATAATTTTTAAAAAAAGGCACAGATACAAAGGGCCACTGTATCTGACAAGTTAAAATATACCCAGCATATTATCCTTCAGTGGTAAATGTCTTCTCCAAAGACTTTCTTAAAAAAAAAAAAAGATTTAATATTTATTATTAATAGTATTACTTTAAATTTTACTATAGGGCATGTGTACCCACCAGAGAGACAGAGACAGTAAGAAAGCAAGCTGCCAGGTCCAGGACTCAATCTGTGGTCAGCCATATGGGAGCCCAGCACCTTAACCACCATCCCACCTGCTGGCTCCATCTCCTAAGATTTTCTTTGCTTTTCTTTTTTTTTTTTTTTTTTTGCTATAGGGCATGTGCGCTTGCCAGAAAGACAGAAACTCAAATATAGAAAGTGAGAAATCACCCTCCAAGAGAGATGGCCACACCACAATCCCTTCTCGTCCATTCCCCTCTTGGAATCTTGGGCATGCATGCACATGCACCCAGTGCGAGTTTAAGCCACCTGGTCTGAGACTCGAACTGCAGCCAACTACATGGGAGTTCAGCAACATAGACATTACACCAACAGCTGGTCCCTCTCCTTAGATTTTCTAGAGAAAGACTTTTGAAGGTAAGAGATTCCTCATATTATGTATAATAAATAAAACAGAAAGAAACAAAACTCATAGGGTCCCTTCTGCCTAATGAACTTGAGGAATACTCCTGCAAGGAATGTATTCAAGAAAAGCTAACCATATGGGGAAGAAAAATATGTAATGCTATTCATAGTGGGATTTAAAATAAATTGAAATCTTTACAGGCTAGTAACTTTTATTTCAATCTATGTAAGGATTCTGAAAGATCTGATATAGTTATACTTCAACGCCATAAATTATCCACAAAAAGTCAAAAAAACAGATCATAGACTAGTCATTAGCTAAAGGGAAGAGCAGAAGCTAAATCTTAGGCTACTTGGAAAGATGGCTGTATTTAACAGAAACACATGCTACATGACAGACTTCCCCTCTACTTCATTCACTGTGACAGTATCAAGCTGGACAGGAAGCAGGATCCAGGACATCCAGAACGGCTGATGGAAAGTTGCCTCACCTGATAAGAAGGGAGGACAAAGAGTGTGGAGACTGTCCCCTCCCCACCACATATAGATCATCGAGTTTGAAGGAGTGTCTTCCCACTGGGTAAGTCAGGGCACAGTAGAAACAGTAGGAAATGTACATTGAGAGATTGGTTGTGAGGAATTATCTTATGTGATATGAGGCTAGCTCAGCAACTCTGATATCTACAGGGCAGGTCATCAGGTTGGATGGCCTAGAAGACTTGAGTGCCCAAGGCTGTTGTCCTCAGGTAAAGTTTCCTTCTCAGGGAAGACTCAGCTCTTTTCTTAAGGCCTTTTAATCCACTGAGTAAGGCCCTTCCTAATCATCTAGGATCACCTCCCTCACTAGAGTCAACTAATTACAGATTTTCTTTCTTTTTTATTTTTTGAGAGATTTTTGCTATGGGGTGTGTGCACTTGTCAGACAGAAGCAAGAAATAACCACCACCCCCAAGGGAGATGGCCATGCTACAACGCTCTATCCTCCATTATCCTTTCGGGATTTGGGGCATGCACACATTCACACACCTGGCATGAGTTTTAACCCATCGGGCCCAGAACTGGAAGCACAGTCAGCCAAGTGGGAATCCATGCCTTAACCATTATGCCACCTGCTGGCCCTAACTAATTACAGATTTTAATCATATCTACAAAAAAAACCAAAAAAACCCTTCACACCAACCCCACAATGATGTTTAATAAAAGGAGATTATAACCTAGCCACATAGACTTATCAAAAGGCCATCAGAGTCCACTTGGTAATCACATACAACTCAAATTAAATGATCTCCAGACAACATAGCCATACTTCAGCTCACCATGATGCAAGTATCCTGTGTACAACTGATAACAAAAGAACCCTCTCCCCAGCAGAGAACACAAAGTTCTTGGATAAAATTCACAATTCTCCTTTGATATCCTATTACATAAATACTGTGATTTAAAATTTACCATTGGTAGGTTCTTAATTAATAATTTTTATTATGGTATCAGTGTCAATGTAATTTTTTAGACCATGAGCACAATGTGTAATGATTAAACCAGGGTGCTTAGTATCCCCTTCATCTCGGCCATTCAAAACATTATATACAGTAAGTTGTTGTCAACCACGTTCTCCCTACTGTATGTCATGATACCAGGCATCTCTCCTTCCATCCACATGCAATTTCGTTCCTTCTGTTAACCAGCATTCCTCTATTCCACTCCCACCCTTGGTAAAGAGATGAGAAACAGAAAAAAGCAAAAATATTTTTAATATATATACATTGATAATAAGATAAGGAAGAAACATTTATAATAATTACTGGAAATACTGTTCTCACCTCTGAAAATAACAAAGTCCATCTTCTGGGGCTGCTAAAGGAATAACGTGATGTGATTTGCTACAAGCGCTGTGTTCTAAATATCAGCCACAGCAATATCACTTAGTTATTGGACAGCAGCTTGTAATGGTATTAAGCTGAGGACTGGGACTCAGAAGAAGGTCTAACAGTGAGTCTGTGATGCAGAGGTGAAAACAATCCCGTGAGAAAGAATTGTTTCAGGGTGAGGGGAGGGCCCCTAAAACCATGGTAACACACATCAGGTTCTTGGATGGAAGGATTAAATACCGAAAAGATCCAAAGTGTGTGATAGAGAGGAAGACCTCCTCTGAGGGAGCAAGACTGTCTTTTCATAAATGAACTACTTAGACAACTTCTTCAGCTGTGAATAGCAAAGCCTCTTTTCTCCTTCTCTACTAGCCCACACAGAATTCTGGATTAAAATTATAGGGAA